GAGATGTTGGGCTACCCTCCCGGCCTGGTTTTTTTTTTGTTTTTTTGTTTTTTTTTTGTTTTTTTTTGTTTGGTTTTTCGAAACAGGATTTTTCAGTGTAGTTTTGGTGCTTGTCCTGGATCTCACTCTGTAGACCAGGCTGGCCTTGAACTCACAGAGATTCACCTGGCTCTGCCTCCCCAGTGCTGGGATTAAAGGTATGCGCCACCGCTGCCTGGCTCCCAGCCTATATCTTTATTGTTGGTTTCTAAGCTGTGGCTGCCCTGGAACTCACTGTGTAGGCCACGCTGGCCTTGAACTCATGGAGATACTCTTGCCTCTGCCTCTTTTTTTTTGTTTTTTTTTTTTTGGTTTTTCGAGACAGGGTTTCTCTGTGTAGCTTTGTGCCTTTCCTGGAACTCACTTGGTAACCCAGGCTGGCCTCGAACTCACAGAGATCCGCCTGGCTCTGCCTCCCGAGTGCTGGGATTAAAGGCGTGCGCCACCACCGCCCGGCGCCTCTGCCTCTTAATTAAAGACTTGTGCCACCACAATCACCACATCCTCTGTCTTGGTTTTAGCCCAAACAGCTAGTCAAAACCTGGGTTAGAACCCAAGCTATCTAGCTGTCTGGCTATGGAAACCATTACTCCAAGTCTGCTGTGTCTTTGAAGAAAGCAGCTCACAAGACAGGTCATTTATCCCAACATAGAAGGAAAACGGGAGCTTGAGGAAGCTGTCACGGGCACTTTCTAACCAGATTGTATCCGGTCTTCAAATTGGCACGTTAGGATTGATTACCCCTGTTCTGTCACCGGTGCAAGTGAGAATTTGGGAAGTTAAGTAACTTGACGCTAATGTCTATGCAAAACTGGTTAGTATTAGAGCTGGAATGGGGGCTAGGTCTGCTTCCCGCCAAGGACACACTTGTGGCCACAGCTTATGCTTCCTGCTTAAGGGCCATTGCTGCCACCAGAGAGTAATGGTCAAGGAGACTGAGTCAAGAAGCTTTTGTGCTGAGCAACAGCGTAATATTAAAATACACTACAGAGTATCTCTGTTATTGTTTTTTTTTGAATCTGTCAAGAGCTTATCTTGTCCTTGGCTACAGAAAATATTGTATTATCCCAGAATTTTCAGATTGTAGTATGATCACATTTGTGTGTCCCTGGACTACCACTGGTGGGGGATGGGGGGACGGGGGCGACATATCCCTTGGTCCTCTTTCCCTGCCACAGCCTGCCTTGGCCAGTCCACAAGTCTCCACCTGTCTCTGAGCAAGTGCTCCAGGCATTCCACTCTTCCCCTCGTCTGCCCACTCTGTGCCACAGGAGCATGCAGAAAAGACCTTTCAGCTAAGGAAGCTGAAATTCCAGGAGGATTTCATCTTGTGTACAGGAAAACCTATAGAGTAGCAGCAATTAGAACAAGGAGATTTCTCACCTTGCAGAGGAGAAAAATAATGGTTCCCAATTAAGACAACATTTTTACATTTTGAATAAAATGTAAGATAATTAAGAAATGTAGGCAGATTCTTTATTCCCAGCTTTCTCAAGGAAGGGCAATTTGGTTTTGGTGTGACATGAAGCATCTTGGAACAGGGGCATATGCTTTATTTTGGAGAAACCCAAGTGTAATCATTAAAGAGTATTGGTTCTAAGTATAGGTTCTTGGTGTCAGGAGGACCTGGTTGTTGTTGTTGTTTGGTTGGGGTTTTTTGGTTTTGTGTAGCAGGAGTCTTAAAAGATCTTAATAAAATCAAACCCTAGCCAGGTATTGGGGTGAACACTGGAAAAGAGACAGAACAAGCCACAGCTAACCTCACCTGGCCAACTTCTCAGCTGATCCTGTTTCCTCAGACTGGAAGCTTCTGAGTCCTCATCCAAATGGATCTCAGCTGAACTGCTGCTAGAAAGCCTTGAAAGCTTAACCAGCTTCTAGTTTCTGGTCCTCACGCCTCATATACCTTTCTGCCTTCTACCACCACTCCCTGGGATTAAAGGCTCGCTTTCTGGGATTAAAGGCATGAGTCACCATGCTTGGCTGTATCCTTGAACAGATGGATTTCTGCCTCTGGAATGCTGGGATTAAAGGCGTTGCTACCACTGCCTATCCTAAGTATCTAGTTCTCTGACCTCAGATAAGTTTATTAGGGTACATAATATTTTGGGGAACACAATACCACCACAGTTTTGGTTTTGTTTTTTTGAGACATAGTTTCTTTGTATAGTTTTGGTGTCTGTCCTGGATCTCACTCTGTAGACCAGGCTAGCCTCGAACTCACAGAGATCCGCTTGGCTCTGCCTCCCCAGTGCTGGGATTAAAGGCGTGCGACACCACCACCCAGCTGAACTTGATGCCTTTATGTTTCACTATATAGAATACCAGACCTTGTACCAGGGAGTGCTATAGGATATCCATTCTGCCAACCACTCAGCCCATGTTTGGCTTGCAGTATGTTCTTAAGAATGCTGACTGACCCCTTCCTCGGATCTGAATGGGCTGTTAGGATCTGTTCACCTTGATGGTTCAATTTACACATCTGCTTCATGACTCCTGTTCTAATAGACTGGATGTTGACTCTTCCACTCCCCAGCTAAAGGAAACAGCATGTGGAACACAAGAGAGCCTGTCATGTATTGAGTTTTAAGATTTATATGAGTTGCATTTGAGGATTGAATAATTGGTCATGTTTCCATAAAGGCAAACATGTAATAACATTTTACTCTTCTTTTGGAGTACATTTTGGAAGATTTGGGTATAAAGGAACTTTTTGGCTCTGAAATATTATTTTCTTTTTCTACATTTCAAGACATAAAAAATTGACATTGTTTTTGGACATAGACTACAAAGGAGTTTTTCTTATGTTTAAGTCTTTTTTTTTTTTCTGGTGTTTTGAGACAGGATTTCTCTGTGTAGCCCTAGCTGTCCAGGAACTCGTTTTGTAGACCAGGCTGGCCTCAGGGATCCACTTGCCTCTGCCTTTTGAGTGCTGGGATTAAAGTCATCTTAACACAATTTACTTTGAAGAGTAATTATGCTTTATTAAAACCACAAGAGGGTAACTTTGGTTATGAGTGGATATTTCTGGTCATGAAATCACAAAAACACAGAAAAGTCCAAGACTTAGCTTTTCCCTTTTTGTCTTACTTTTTTTTTTCCACTTTTCAAAAAAATCAATCACCTGTTCATCTAACTTCCTAGGAAAGGCACAAGAGTTAGTTGAGAATTTTTTTCTTTGACTCTGGGAAATACTAATTTTAAATTATTTCACAGCAGTGTGTGACTTTTTTTCTGATATTAATATAGCCACTAACAAGCTACTTTCTTTCATTAGTCACACACAATATTAGGATATAGAGTTTGTAGATACAAAGAATGCTATTTCTGGCTTAGTACAAACAAGTCTAGAAATTTGTGAGTCAATTTAGCATGTAGCAAGTTGACTTTGACATATTGTAATTAGAAAGCATGACTTCATTGAATCTTTTGTTTTGTGGGTGTTTTATTTTGATGTTACTTATTTTTTTGTGGTACTAGCGATTACAGTACTTGCATGTGCCAGCCAAGCACCCCACAGGCTAGCTGTTTTTGCAGTCCTTTTTGAGTTTTTGTGTGTTGTTTTATTTGTTTGGATTTTTTGTTTGGGTTTAGGGTCTCACTAAGTGGGCTCATGCTGGCTTTGAACATACCCTACAATGTAAATCTCCTGTCTTGGCCTCCTGAGTAGCTAGGATTACAGGCCTGTGTAATTAGGGTTGGCTACTCTACTGTTCCTATGGAGAAAACAAGATTTTTTTCTGTCAACACCTCGGGTAACGACGTTTGTCAGTCATCAGTTCTCACATGTGGAGTAACACCCTCAAGCTATTGAATTGGCACTGTACTAGACTAAACAGGTTCAGGATGCTCTGAAGGGGTGTGGTTCCTCAAAGTCCCCATTTGGAGTTCTCTGGATCTCTTGGGGAAATATTTGTATTGCATAGTAGCTGGATCCCCATTATCAAATAGGTGCTTGTCTTCAGCAGTTACAAGATGTTTTAGTCTAACACTAAAACAGGAGCTTAGGTTCGGATGACAGCTCACATGTACTCTTGAAAACAATATTTCTAAAATGTAGTGAACATTGATTGCATGCTTCCCCTGGTAGTTACCACACCATGGTTTCAATTACAGAGTATGTGCCTTTGGAATTAAAAGTAAGAATTGCTTTTGTGTTAGATTAATTTGTTTAATTGTATTTACTTTGTTCTTGAACCTTAAAAGTACAGCCTGGGTCAGAATATTGCAAACACAGAAGAATATGCTCTAGTATCATACTTCAGAATGGAAAACATTAGATTGAAAAATTTTAAGTCCCACAAATTTCTTTTAAAAGTGTATTACTTTAATTTAAAAGAACCAGTTTTTGTCCTTAACCTCAGGGTCAGAGTTCTAAATCAAAGTTTTAATAAGTTGTTTCCATTTTAGAGTATCCAAGGCCTATTGATTTCAGAATTAATCCATTCCTGCTCAAAAAGAGGAGAATTCACTTCAGTGGAATTGACCTGGTCAAGCCAGGAAAAGCTTCCCCAGGATGGTATATATATGCCAGTGGGCGGCTTCTACCCCAATCTCGGGGCTGAGGCATATAGAGTGATTTAATCTCATGGTGCAGACTTTAGAGAAGTTTTGGTTTTTTGAGTCTTACCAAACAGTACAAGTGTTACTACTCCTGAAGGTATATTCCAAGCTGTAGTTGGAATTTTCAGTAACCATATCTTCCAGAGTAATTCATCTTCATAGCATTCTCACCATTAAGAAGCTTTCTGAATAGCAGCCGCCAAGAGATCATGAAGAAAGTGAGCATTTATGGGTATAATTGGCGTTGGCTGCTTTGTGGTGTATTTTATTCAGTAACATTTAGTAGTACCATCCATACATCTTTAAGTTAAGAAAAAAAATAACAGTTGCTAAGATACAGTTCTGAAATGTTTTAAAATTCATCTGTGATAAAATACTGAGACAGTTATTTTTCTCAGGGAACAGCGTGCTGATGACGTCAAAGGAGATTCTGAAGAGAAAAGAGAAAATGAAGTGAGGACGTCAGCTGAAGCCAAAGGTAACCATAGCACTATCATGTCACTATTGGTTATTACCATAAATATTCAGGAACCAAAAACTTCACTGTAGCCCAGGGTATAGTCCATGGCAGAGCAGTGTCTATGCACAAGACAGTGGGTTTGATTCTCAGCACCACAGAATAAGTACAAGTAATTAGAAACAACTGGAAAATGACAATCGCAGTGTACTGAAGATAAACTTGGTTTGGCTCTTCCTTCATGGAAAACAAGACAAGTCCAGATATCGGGAGACTTTCAATGGCACAGACTCAACGGGCGCCTGTGTTCACAGTTTCTTTCACACATTGGTGCAGCATCAGATGTAAGGTTTGCAGAGACATTCTCTGTGGCTCTTGCCACACATCTTCGGTATTGCTGGCCTCACTTGCTTCAAATGTGTTTTGAAATCCAAACAGTCTATCATCTTGATGCAAAAGCACAAAAATGAAAAGAAAATCACTTAACAAGTGTTTGCTAGGCTAAGTCATTCTTCTTCCGTCTTTGTTTCAAAGATGATAGTTTAAGCAACGAGGGCATAATGACTCTTAGTCATCATATAGATTGAACTTACAATTTGCTTATAGCTGGGTAATTATTGTTTATTTTTCTTATAAGAAGATGCTAGTCTGGCTACCACTGTGTTGCTTGTTCCTGTAGTCTTCCCTTCTCATACGTGTTTTCTGGTTTAGATGATTTTAGGGTTGAGGAATGGAACTAATGACTGTCTGTAATGAGAGCCTGATTATTGTAAAGCAATAATTAATGATTCCATTGAAATCTGTGTACAGGGCGATGTTCAGCATGGTTTACGGTAGAATAGTAAATAATGGTTACATTGTACTCTGTGTACAGGGTGATGTTCAGCATGGTTTATGGTGCTTGCTTTAGCACTAAATACAGATCCTACAGTCGACCAGGCGTAGCCTCTCCTTTCCTACTTGCCCCTGAATAGTTTGATCCATGGCATTGAAGCCACTGGGTACTTATGTTTCTTGCCTGTCCAAAAGAATGGTGTGGTATATGTCCATGAGCTTTCAAAGAAGATTAAGATCAATAATGTTGTTTCTTGATTAGCACATGTCTGTCCCATACTAAGCCCTGAACAATTATTTGATTATCTACAATGTTGCTTATAATTTATAAAGGAAAGAGATATTTAACCTAGAAAGGTTTTGTTATCATAGCTGTTTGGACTTCTTATACAAAGAATCCAGCTTTTCTTTGTAAGCCATTAGTTCATCAGAAGTCAAGAGCAGGGCTTACAGTCAGGCATCAGCTCACACGTACCATCTGTGTGTCTGTGCCTTACTTTCTTCTTGTGTAACCCTAACGTAGTCCTAGGATACCTCCTTGGCAATGTGTTAGTAGCTGGAGGACTCCCTACGGTGATGATGCTGCCACCATGGAATAGTCTCTACTCAATGGAGAATGTCAGTCCTGTTCACATTTGATAGTCTAATACTGCTACATTTTATCTAGTTTATTTCTAGTTTTATTTTTCTGTTGTTCTTCACTTGAATTACGTGAGTTTTGTTTAGTGATTCCTTGCAAGGGAAGATTGGTAGAATCCATATTTATTTTTCTAAGTCAATTATTACTTTTCCTGTTTTCTCCTTGGTTTTCATGTATTTGTCTGAAAACCTATACTTGAATATGCTTGTGTCACTTGCTGTCTTTTTAATTGGTGAAGAGAGCTTCACAATGGAAGTCGTTGTTAGAATTTCCTACATTATGTTCCTAGGTGAGACTGGCCGGCGATGCAGTGCTGGCCTTCCCGATGACTTTGGAAATTTTGGATTTTTTGTTTGTTTGTTTTGTGGTGTTGAGACATTTTAAATATGGCTACTCTTTAAAATTAATTTAATGTGTAAGAAAGGTTTTTGTTGACTTTCACTCAATGTCTAGTTTACTAGTTTTATATTTCATTTGGAATTCTGTTCTTGGCTTACCACACAGTACTTGTGTGGCTGTCTTTACCTGAGTCCCAGGGACCTGTAGCTTCCAGTCAGAGCTGAGAATCATCTGGAGACATTGGGATGCCTCAGACCTTAGTCACTGGATGGCGTCCTATCTCTCAGTCTTTAATGCAGACACAGCCTGTTGTCACAGATTCAGCTCCCTGGAAGCAGACCCTGAGAAGACTGAGAAGAGGGAGGCTAGGGAAAGAAGCAGAGTTGGGCAAAATAAGGAGGTGGGCCTGGTACAGAGAATGGAAGTGGATGCCCTGAGGTTTAGGTCATCCCAAGTTCAGCCAGAGGGTTGGACTTTGTGTCTTGGAATTGACCAGTTCTCAGCTGCTGGCTGAGAAGGAAGTGTTAGACAATTTTTTTTCCTCCATGGTACAGAATGCATTAGAGGAAGAAGGACTTTTTGTTTGACTCCAGTGTCATAGAGTGGGGCACATGGTGACTTGGGATTTGCTGTAGTCATGGGAGCTTGTAGCATGAAGTAGTACATGGAGACAGAATAGGAAGCAGTGGGAGACTACCAAAGCCAGACTGGACTGTAAACACAAGATGTGCTTATATGCCCTATGTTTGGCAGCAAGACAGACCCCATTCCCAAAGTTTCTCCAACCTCCTGGAATAGTACCATCTGCTGGGACCAAGGGTTCAAACACATGAGCCTGTGGGAGCCGTTCCACATTCAAACCCCGACAGGGTACATCTGCAGACAAAGAGGCTCCCTTTGTCTTGGGCAGTTTCTGAAGAGGGGGTCATTGTAAGCCCTCTCCTCTCAACAGGCAGGAGAGTCCACGCCTTCGTCCTGAAGGGAGACTGAGTGCCTGGGATATCTACTATATATTCAGCCAGAACTTTAAGCTTGGTTCTTCCTTTAAGAAAAATCAAACAGAAAAGAAACAAATCAAGATCATTCCATGCAGGTAGTATTAGGCTAGCTGAATTCAGTCCAAGCTTTGGGTTTTGAAAAATGGAACCTGACTGGAATCCAATCTTCTCTCCATGATTTTTGCCTGGAAAGCAATAAACATTCTTGGTTGTTTTTTTTTTTTTTTTTGGGGGGGGGGGTTGGTTTGGTTTGGTTTGGGGCCCTTTAAACATTCAGATCTTATTTAAATTGAAAGAGTCTTTTTGTTATAGTTCACATTACTACCCCTGCTCCATTTACCCCTGTCTCTTCCTTTACTGGTAGTATCTCTCCGTCTTGTGTTAAAGCCAAGGTTTGGCATTGGAAGTATTTAACAGCTAGGTTGAGTCCAGTATTGCACCAGGTGGCTAAGCACACTGGGCTAATTGTAGGTGAGTAGGTGACTTAGAGTTTCCCATATGGGCCATGATTTATGTCAATTGCCTGTTTTTGTTTTTTGTTTGTTTGTTTTGTTTTGTTTTGTTTTTAAACCTGGCAGAGGCTTTGTTCCCTGGGGCTTATAAAGATCATTAGACTATACTGTCCATAAGTCTATGCTCTTCAGAATATATTGTATCAGGAGCCTGATGGTGGTGCTTTCCTTTTTCAATCGTTTTTACTCCAGAGAAAGTTCCATGTGCATTTTGTGAAGAACACATGCTTCTTCCATTTGAGTCTCAGCAGAATCCCTTCAGGGTGAAGCCTGAAGGTCAGGTATGGCGCAATCCATGCTGAGCCCACTGTCCGCTCTAGAGTGTCCATTCCTAGTCTGTTCCTTGATGGTGGAGCAGCCCTACCCAGCCCAGCCTAGCCTTGTGCCTCTTGGGGGTGAGAAAGACACTGCAGAGGCAACATTCAGTGAAGGAGCCTGAGAAGCAGTCACACAGGACTTCCTTCTAGTATCAGTAAGATTTAGGTTTTCAGGATCCACAAGAACTATTTTGATTGGAGTCTTAGGACAAACTGATTGTTAAAAAGGGGGGGCAGGGAGGATTTCTCCCTAAAAAAACAGACTCAGATCCTTCTGGCCAATCCAGTGTACTCTGTGTGATCATAACCTCTTTTTCTCTACTGTTTCTGAACTTGACTTTGGGAAACTGACTGTAATTTGCTCCTTTTTTCCTGTCTGCTTTATCTGAAAAGATAAATACTTCTTTCCACCATCATGGGAAAGCCTGCACGGTGGGGATTCTGTAAAATGGCCTTTCCCTGGCATCCTTCTGTCCTAGGGAAGGTCCAGTTCTTTGTTTTCTCTGCAGGCTTTCTCTCTCATAGGATACTTGTATGGGGAAGCTGAAATGCTGTGTAGTAACATGTCAGATTCTCCTGGGGAAATCGAGCATCATTTTTGCCTCTGTAACAGTTGGATTGACTATTTGGATCTTTAATATTGGAATTACCCTGAGATATTTTTCATGCTTGAATTTGAGTAACTTGAAAATTGTATCTCTGTTCTTAGTGATTTAAATCCACTTGTTTTATGAAACATTTTTGTTCACCCTTTTCTCATTTATCCATCAATTTTTAACAAATATATCCCATTTCTTCTGCCTTTCTTCCTTTCTCATTAGAAACCTCTTTTATAGACTCCTAGAATATCAGCCTAGATGGATTATTGACTCATTTACCACTTTGAATCGAAAAGACTGTCGATTATTTTCATTCCTTTGAAGACAGAAGTAGTTTCTACCACTTGCCGAGCACTGCATGTTAGGATAAGCATTGAGAAAACCTCGTGCAGTTCTTCCAGGACTTGTTAAATTGACTCCACTGGGGTGCCAGAGCAGACGTCTAGATCGTGTTTACCAGACTCCGGCATCTTGGTCGGGACCCTATCGTTGAAGGGGCTAGGATGACAGCCTTCTACTTCTCTTATCTCTGTGTGGTTTTCCTGTGCTGTGGCTGAACCTCTCTCCCTTCTGTTACAGCTAGCACCATCATAGCATGGTTTGACAGTGACAGGAGATGCTTCATTTTTGTCACTGGCTTAAAAACAACAACAACAAAAAAAAAAAAAAAAAAACCCAGAATGTTTTAACAAACCAAATAAAGTGTGTGAGCGAAGAAGACTTTGGTCAGATCGTTTTGATAAATTTCACTTTAGGAAATTTCAAAACTATGGGAATGGAAAGTGTTGTTTTTCATTCAGGTGGATGGTGTCGGAGGAGGGCAGTAAGAAAGAGAGCCTTGGCAAGATCCGAGTGACCGAAGTGCCTTCCAAACAGAATGCCTGTGCTTTCCAAAGCACACTGTCCACTGCAAGCCTCCTCTTCCTGACTCTCACCATTGTGCCGGCATTGCCACCAAAGTCTACTTGCATTTATTCTAGTCTGTGTCATGTGTTGGATAAAATCCTGGAGCCACTTCCCATACCGTTTAAGGAATCAATTAGTCACTCACATGAGGAGGCTTTCTTTCTCTATCCCATTTGGATGCGAGTCATAGGAGAGAATGTGTTAGCGTTGGTGGATACCACAGGTACCTCATTGTTTAGCCATAACACTGGTGTCCAGTCTCAGTTTTATAGAAGAAACTGCTAAAGGAAGGAGTGTCTGAAAGGGAAGGACACAGAGTCACAGGACAGTGGTTCTCAACCTTGGGGTTGCGACCCCTTTGCGGTCAAGTGACCCTTTCACAGGGGTCTCCTAAGACCATGGGAAAACACAGATATTTACATTACAGTTCACAGCAGTAACAAAATTACAGCTATGAAGTAGCAATGAAAATAATTTTATGTTTTGGGGGTCACCACAACTGCACTAATGGGTCGCAGCATTAGGAAGGTTGAGAACCACTGTGCTCGTAGAATCAGAGCGGTGTGTGTTTATAATACCATCCTCAAAGACTTCAGAAGCCACTGCAAGTGTTGGAGCTTCGTGTTTTTCACTTGTTTAGTTAGAGTGGTTGTTGGTTTTCTGAGGGATAATGCCCAGCACTAGAAATGAACTGTGAGGAATACAGCTTCCAGAGGGGAGTCGATGGAATGGTAGTGATAGAGTGAAATGTCGGTGTTATTAGAAAACAAAAAGCATCATAGGATGAGATGAACATGCGTTTGTAGAAGACTTACATATGGCAAGCAATCTCTACCCTGTTGCTCTAGTGTGGGGACAAAACCTTAGCGTAGTTCGTGTAAGCCAGCCTTGTGTGTGCATTTATTTCAAGTGCTTGCTAAACTCTTGGGAATAGCTGAGATGAAGTTTTTAGGTTACCCACTTTCTCCCACATTGTTCTTAAGTACTGGGGGTCAAACCTGGGTTCTTGTGCATTCTAAGCAAACACTCTGCCACAGAGCTGCATCCAGCAAAATATTTTCAACTTAAATAATTTAAGTTAGAATAAAAACAAATGTGGTTTAAATAATTTAAAAAAGAATAAAAATAAATGTGGTGTTTGTGTTTAGTTTATATGAGATATTCAGTAAAAAATAGGGTAAGGACCCAAAACCTTGATTCAATGAAGCTTGGAAAGAGCTATCATAATGTCTATGATTGTGCCCTGTTACATCCCTTTTCCAATAAATGAGACAATGTTCTTCTTTGGAGCCGAGAAAATTTCCATCATGCATATACACCACATTTTCCTTAGCCCCTCCTCTGTTGTTGGGTACCTAGGTTGGTTCCATGAGTTAGCTATTGTGAATAGTTCTGCAGTGAACATTGATGTGCAAGCGTCTCTAACATGTCTACTTGATGTCCTGGGGGAATACCCAGCAGTGGGAGATCTGGGTCATCGTTCTTTAAGAAACCTTCACACTAGGTCAATAGGGGTTAGACTAATTCCCACCAAACGGGGTTTCACTGTGTCTGGATTTTTTTTTCCTTAATGACTGACACTCTGAGTCCATTGACCTAAAAATCTCAATGTATTTTTGATTTGTATCTTTCTGATGGCTCGTGAGGTTAGGCTGAGCATTTTTTTCCATATATTGATTGGCTATTATATCTCTTCCTTTGCAAATTGTTTGTTCATTTGCACATTTAGTAACTGGATTTTGTTTTCTTGTTACCTGGTTTTGGTTTGGTTTTAGTTCTTTGTTTAACCCAGATATTTTCTCTCATTCAGTGGGTTTTCTCTTCACTTGGTCAACTGTTTCCTTTTGTTGCAATAGTTTCTTATCTCCATTAAAAAAGTTGATGGCTGTGTAATGCCACAATGATAAGTAACTTGGATGAAACCAAGGCTGGAACAAGTCAGGAGAAGCAACTACCTGAGAACAAATTGCAACAGCTGCAGATCGGCAACTGCTATCATTATGTCAGCTAAAGCATAGGGGAAGAGACGGAATTTCTGAAGGACAGAGTTCTCTTCTGAGGCACAATTATCTAGAGTGCTCAAGAAACACCATTGAGCAACGGTCAATGATAGTCGTCAATAGTGTGTGTCAATTGAACATACAGTGTATTATGACAAACATCAGTAAATGATAATTACTCAATGAGTGTGATATTGAAAGTACAAAGCCTTTCTTTATCTATGTCCACCTCCCTGATGCCATTATCTAGTGAGATGCATGGCCCATGGGGCTGTCCTCCTGCCTTTCAGATAACAGATTTTCTTTTCTTTTTTCCATTGACCAGTTGTTCGGGAAGAGCCTGCCCCTACTATACAGCAGCCTCAGCAGGTACAGCAGCCTCAGCAGGTACAGCAGGTACAGCAGGCCCAGCCTGCTCAGCAGCCTCTGCAGGTGCAGCAGCCTCTGCAGCAGACAGCCAAGACTCAACAGGCCCAGCAGCCTCAGCCGGCCCAGCAGCCGCAGCCAGCCCAGCAGCCGCAGCCGACTCCACAAGCACAACAGGCCCAGCAGCCGCAGCAGAGTCCTCAGGCCCAGCAGCCTCAGCAGGCCCAGCAGGCCCAGCAGCCGCAGCAGGCCCAGCAGCCTCAGCAGATTCCCCAGGCGGCAGCGGCGCAGCAAGCCCAGCAGGCCCAGCGGCGATCAGCGGTCTTTCTCTCCTTTAAGCCCCCGATTCCATGCCTGCCCTTGCGCTGGGAGCAGCAAAGCAAGCTTCTTCCTACTGTTGCCGGAATCCCTGCCAGTAGAGTTTCCAAATGGAGCACAGATGAGGTATGTTTGCATTCATTGCTTAATTTTGTTATCAGACTTTGTCTATGAGGCATATTGGCATCATGTGTGATAAATCATGCATTGATTGGGTAGTGTCTTGTCTCCCAGGGCCTTTTTTTTATTTCTTTCCCAATAAGAGATCATTTGTTTAGAGGGAACAACCTAAGCTATATGTTTCAAATACTTTTGAACCTCAGCATTTTGGATCCCAACTTCTTTCTTTTTTCTTTTTTTTTTTTTTTCAAATTAAAATCTTAAAATTTTGATGTTTTGACAGGTGTCAGAATTCATTCAGAGCTTGCCTGGGTGTGAAGAACATGGAAAGGTGTTTAAGGACGAAGTAAGTGTTCCACTCTATTGTGAAATGTTTCTTAATGGGGTCAAAGCATGGAGATGCACCAGTGGGGACATGTGTTAAACGGGCCGTCCTGAAGAGATGAGCTCTGTCAAAGTTGACAACTGGTGTGTAGTTGCATTACAAGCAGCATTAACCACTTGAATTAAAGTGTCTTACAGAAGATGAGGTCTGAAGGAAAGCCTGCATGAGCATTTCATGATCGTGCACAGTAGCACTAGACTCATTATAAAACTCCCCGCTAAACTTAATAGCATGCCCCTATATAGTTTATAGCACAGAAATAAGCCAAAGGAAGAAATGAGTGGTATTTTAATATGGTGAGTTTTTTTCTCATTATTTTAATTTCAGATACCATCCTAACAGTATCAACATTGACTCCATTTGATGCTCAGAATAAAGACTACCATTCGAGCCAGGAGCAGGCTTAGATCTTACCTATGTCTCAGTAATATGTGTAAGAACAGGAATTTATTACCATCTACCCTGAGATTATCTTTTGAAAAAGCATTTATTTATTTCGAGTTAGTGTACGAAGTAACAGGTTTCCTTGTGGTGTTTTCACATACACTGTGTTTGGCTCATGCCTTCCCACACAGGGCTTTCCCCCATCTCCGTGTTCGATGCCCCCTCCTTGTCCCATTCTGTCCCCAGTATTCCTCATTCAGCTTTCATGTCACATATAGTCCATCACCCTTCCCATCCTGCTTCCTTAATACCTCTTCAAATTAGAAGCTAGGATTGTATATGAGATGGCATGCAGTATTCAGCTTTGAGCCTCGTTACTTGACTTAATATGGTCATTTCCAGACACAACTATTTTTCCTGCAAATTTCATATTTTTATTTTTCTTTGTTGGCTGAATGAGATTTTATCTGGTGGACACTAGTCCTCCTGGACCAGGAGCTCACCTGACCTGTGTGACCTTATCTTAGGCAGTTGCTGCTTAACGGTTGCAGTGACACTATTTCCAAATAAGTTCACATTCTGAGCAACTAGGGTTTAGGGATCCAACACAGAATTTGCAAAGGAGGGCCTGGGAAGGTGGCTCAGTGGTTAGTAGCACTGCTCTTCCAGAGAACACAGGTTTGATTCCCAGCACCCACATGGAGACTCACAACCGTCTATAACTCCAGTATCACGGGATCAGACACCCTCTATCCTCCACAGGCAATGCACACATTCGGTGCACAGTCATACATTCGGGCAAAACATCAATACACAGAAAATAAAAATAAAGAAAAAAACTTTTAGAGAATTTGCAGCTGGGCATTGTAGTACACACCTTTAACCCCAACATTCCAGAGGCAGGTGGATCTCTGTGGGTTCAAGGTCAGCCTAGTCTATATGATGAGTTCCAGGACAGCCATGGCTATGTAGAGAGACCTTGTCTCATAAAACAAAAACAAAAACAAAGCAAACAAAAAAGAATTTTCAGAAGACACAGTTTAACCCCCATCAAGCCATTCATTGTGGTCAAATTCCTCTGAGATAGAAAAAGAAATATCTTTCTTTTTCTGTTGTTGTTCAAAATGGAGAAATTGAAGAAGAAATTAATTAATGTGTCTTAAGACCATCCAGTTTCTTAAAGGCTGAAAGTCTCATACACACACACACACACACACACACACACACACACACACACACACACACGTATATTTTATATATATATATATATATAAAATCTGTCACATTTGTCACCCTACTAAACCAAATAATCATTTTTATCATGTTGTGGCCTTGAGTTTCAAAGTGTCCTATTCTGTAATTCAGCTTTTCATCTTAGAAGGGGCCCAGAAAGAAGAGGATTTACACAATTAGCCTAATAGTAGAAGAAACAGCCTATGGTCTGTGATGTTTAACACTGGCCTCACATTCTTCCACCCAGACTGTTTGTTGTTTCTCTTCTGCTGAGGGAGGCTAATTATGGTCATGCCAGACAAAAATACTCTATTTTCCTCATGGTAGAAGACTAAATCTGTTGGGTGTTTATGTGTAACTGGTTCTTTGCCGGAATTCTTTTATGTCCAAAAGCATTATTATCTTCGTAACTAAAAAAACCTACGTTTTCTTCTTGACTCAGTACCTAATTCAGAGGAACATAAGAAGGTTTGGGGAGGGGGGAATGGCTCAGTGGGTGAAACGCTTGCAGCATAAACATGAAGACCTTTGAATCCCCACCACTCACATAGAAAGCCAGGCATGGCAGCATATGGCTGTAACTCCAGCACTGAGAAACAGACAGGTGGATCCCTGGAACTCACTGGCTAGACAGTTGAGATGGAATGGCAAGCTCTAAGTTCAGTAAGAGACCCTGTCTCAAAGAAAAAGAGGAGACCTATAGAGGAAGACATTCACAATTGAACTCTGGCCTCCTACACACACACACACACGCACACGCACACGCACACACACAGGCCCACAGGCATGCACACTCACATTTTAAGTTTTAAGAGAGTATGGCCACTTTCTACTTTCCTGTGGACTGGAGTTTCAGACAATTGAGTTTTACTTTGTTGATGTGTGATTGTAGGTAAGAAAGACCCATAGATCGGGAATATTGTGTTCATCAACTCTGGTATAAGCCTTCTTATTGTCGCTGTGAAGTCAGCTGATATTACAGCACATAGCTTTGGAGAGTCCCACAACAATGCATCTGGTTAATCCATATTCCTTTGTCTGTTTGGTTTTTTTTTTTTCAGCAAATTGATGGAGAAGCATTCTTACTTATGACCCAAACGGACATTGTTAAAATTATGAGCATTAAGCTGGGCCCAGCTCTCAAAATTTTCAATTCTATCCTGATGTTTAAAGCTGCGGAGAAGAACTCCCACAATGAACTGTGAAGACGGGGGATTCTGGTACCTTCAGCTTTCGCTTTAAAGCTCATCATGTTTATTCAAAGCACAAGGGGGGTTCTAGCTCCTGAGTGAGAAGTCTTCAGGACTCCAAGAGCAGCACTCGGGGACCCCATCCGTCCCTCCAGACTGCGTGTGTAGGAAACGCCTGGGCTTCTCATCAGCTACTGGCCAACAGCGGTCATCCTTCAGTTCTGCTCACAGAGCTAAACGTATCTTTGTAAATCTTTTGGAGGTGGGGGGAGGGTGGGGACTCGGGGGCTTCATTATTTATGGATGGGGGGGCAAAATAAGAACTTTCGGCATTTTGTAAACATTGTTGGGTTCTCTTTCATGTACACTCTCTTTTTTTCAATACTTTCAGAAACCTTTTTATATAACTGAATTTCAACCTAAACCAAATCCGTTGAATCCTGGCTGAGTTTAGCCTGGGACTCGCGACGGTCGGTCGTGTTCGCCCTGTGCCATATTTGGAATTGCAGCATTAGCCAAGTGTAACTTTGCGAGTCACGATATTGCCTAACTATGTGTCATCCTTTGTCGGGACTGAAGAACTGTAAATACAACCTTTCTTTGAATCCATGTTTTTACTTTTGCACGCATTATGAATTGTTAAACAAATTCTTTTCACCAGCATCTTTACTGTTATTACCAAAAAAAAAAATGTATATAAAAGTACGGAATTGAAAAATAAAATATATGAGCCTACTTAGATTTGAATGAAGTAGTGTATCTGAGCAGAATCAGTTTTGTACATCATGGTGCCCATGTGTTTACAGCAGTCAGCATCAGAGGATTGTGTGGTTACATTCCAGGGGATGTTGATCAGGAGCTTGATTTATGAGATTATTGTGTGCATCTCTGTCAATGACGTGCAAGTAACTGGTGCTTCATAGAAAAGGACTCATCTCGTTGATGGAAACACTAATCGTTCAAGAGATCCCATCAGTCTCCCAGGCCCTCCAGACCCACGGGATTTCCTCAGAGTGAGCTGAGAAGTAGAGCGTGGATCTTCCTGCACAGACCTGGCGTGAGAGAGTAACACCAGCAGACCAAAACATTCTCCATACTCACGAGTCGAGGAAGCGGTTCCCAAAGCCATGGTTCGGGAACCTCCAATGTGGAAAGATTCCTTCTCCTATAAAATATTTTGCCTTGATTTTTAAGCATCTGGATGCACTTTAAATGAAAGCCCTTGGTTATTTATAAATTCATAGCTGGCGGTGTTTCTTTTGTAAGCATGCACTTCTAGGGGAAAGGTAAATTATTTTGTCGGTCTTTTGATGTACTTTCTAATTCCAGGATTAGACATTTGTTCAAGGACTGCTTTAAAAATAGAGAGTTCAGTAGCATGCTGTCGGAACTTTGGGGAAAGTCCCACCTCTCTCCATAAACTCTTTAATGTTTTCTGATGTAGGACTTCCTTTGATGTGCCATAGTAGGAGTTTATTATCAGTCCTTTGCATTTGTCATGATTCAAGGTAAAACAGGGTCCGTGACATCTGCAGTGTCCAATTCATTTCTTTGCATGAATCTGCTAAATAAGCTTTTTATTGTTATTTTTTTTTGCCTTTTTTGTTGTGTTCAGTATTTGTACATTAACTTGCACTTGTTACATGTGATATGAATGAAATAAAATCTTAAGTACAGATTCTTTTTATATATGTATGATTTTTAAGAAAGTTATTAAATAGGAGAGGAAGGGGAAAACAGGAATATCATATCTAAGAAGTTATGTAAGACTTGGGTTGATATTAGAACACCTACCTGGCATTTGCGAGACTCTGGGCTTGATCTGCTCTACTACAAAACAATAACAAACAACAGCAACAACATTAAAGATACCATAAGACTGGGGAGTTTCTCCATTGCTAACGTGCATGTTACAACAGCATGAGGGTCTGCACCCATGTAGAAACCAGGCACGTCTTCCCAGTGCTGTGGGAGCAGAGACAAATGGGTACCTGAAACTCATTGGCCAAGGAGCGTAGCTGAATTTATAAACTCCAAGTTTAGTTAGAAGACATGCCTCCAAAGAGCATAGGTAGTGTAATGCAGGAAATATGCAGAATACTGATAAAAGGACTATTTATTCCAGGATTATATTGGTGTGGGGGGGGGACGACTCACTAATGCAGGATAAGGCAGATTCAGTCACAGAATCCTGGAAGGCTGAGAACAGGTCCCATGCTGCTTGATACCGCCTGATTCGGTTCCTACCATCCAAGAACGCAAGAGCGAAGGGCCCACTTACGTGCTCCCCAGGTGTTAAGCTAGCCAAGAGGCCACGTCCTAGGGGCTGGTACCTCAAGGCCATAGGTGGACCAAATACCCACTACATTAGTGAGGCTAGAGAAATAGGTGAATAGTTAAGAGTACTTGGCTCTCATCTGTCTGCAACTCCAGTTCCAGGGGATCCCGTCCCCTCTTCTGGCCTCCACAGACATTAGGCACATACATGGCGTGCAGACTCACATGCAGACAAACAGTCCTAGTTGTTTTTTTTTTTTTTTTTTAAAAAGAGGAAGTCAGTGCGGAGAGTAGTAATACAAGAAGACACAGGAATACAGGAGATGGACCACTGGCCCACACATAGACACACATGAACAAGTACACACACCACAAAAAAGTCTGTGTGTGTGGCAGGGTGACAACATAGCAATCTAATGACTGTAAGATTGAGTATTTTTGTCAATGTACTCAGATGGTAGGGTAAGTATTTAAAAACAAAAAGCTTCAAAAACCACATTTTTAGCCCAAGTTGTTTCCATCTGCATTGAGAATATTTTTTTCTTTCTAATTTAAAGTATATGCTGTAATGAAGGTGATTTTTAAATCTTATTAAAGATTTCACTCAGGGCTACACAGAGAAACCTTGTCTGGAAAAACAAAAATGAGAAAGATTTCACTCCTAAGCAGTACGCTGTTCTGTTGGAAGGAAAGCAGAGCATTGAACATTCTTGGGTGGCATAGAATTCACTGTACTCCAAGCATGTGGTCTTTCACTGTCCCATCACTGAAGTGTGGTCTAGGTGTAAAGGGAAAGAATAGGAAGGACTGATGGTAAGGGATCCCTGGAGTAGAAACAGGCTTAGGATGAGGCAACGGGGAAGGAGGCATGTGTGGGATGCATAGGGACTGTCCGCGGGGTTCTGAAAGATCTAACGCACTGTGCAGGGGCAGATGAAACCTGTCTACCCACCCGTGTTTACCACAGACCATATTTACATCTACATTTAGTGGGCTCACATCCCAAAGAAAACTGTGTATGAGCCAAGCAAAGTTGAATGTTTCCCAAGTGTTAGTACCAAACCAGGCTCAGAGAGACACACCCTGAGAAAGACAGTAACACAGACATGACTGGCCCGTGCCAACACTTTCATTTGGGAGGTTTAGAGCCCAGCTGTCTCATAGCCCCATCCTGTCACTCTGCCCAGCCTGAGCATGACAGAGACACTCAGCTTCCCACAGAGACTATGACCCTCTCAGGAAAGAAGTACCTCAGAAATTAGTAAACCCAGATTTAAGGCAGATTGTGAAATTTTTAAACAATGGATTGGAAGGGGTAATTTGAGTAATAAAAGCTTGTAAGGAAGTTACTATATTTTAGCGAAAAGGGAAAAACATTAAAATTTTCAGCATTTTTTAAAAGTTCGTTTGATGAAAGAATCCAGAAAATGCTTACCCAATTGTGTTGCAAGTATTAACACATTGAAATCTCTGCAATATCCAGAACGACCCCTCCCCCCCACCTTTCAGAATTAGGAAATAACATGCTATTTTGATGTCACTATCAAGGCACACTTAAACTATCGTTTTACAGTTTTTCCTGTGGAATTCTTCAGAAAACAGAGCACCCTGAGTCTTGTTAGATCCCAGAAGTATTGTCTGATTATTATGAATGAACAAACAAATTTCCAATGTGACCATTGCACGTGGGCTGAGCCTGGAGAGAAGGAACCATGGAAGTTGGATGTGCCCACTGACCCTGCACCACAAAGACCACCTACCAAGGAGGACGCTTCAAGATTGCAGCTATCCTGTGCTCAGTCGTGACAGAAGGAAACCAAAACGTAGCAGACCAGGCAGGCTGCCATCTGCGGTAAGGAAACTGAGGAGTATGTACTTTTTAAAAGATATATTGGATTTCAAGATGTTTCCAATCACTGTTCTAACCAAAGAGACTGAAGAGGCAGCTGGCAGGTTGCGGCTGTCCAACTCAACGGTTTTCAAGCCATCACCCTGAGTTAAATTCAGGGTCAGACCCTAACTGGGAGAATTTTACCTCACCATGTCTTTTAAAAGCTGACACTCCTGACACACATGTAACCTTGGCCATAGAATTCTTATGAACTCAGATCAAATTCAGAGCTTTTAAGTAGTATTTTATTACCAAACCTAACAGAGAGCTTAAGTATCTAAGCGATGGACAGAGGCATCAAAAATTCATGGACACTTGAGACAACATGACTTTTTCAATCCGTACCTCCACGGCAACCAACCCTAAATCAATCTGCAATTGTTTATGAAGCTTCAGCTGCCCTGGAGGTTAATTCCATTACTCTTAATATGGAATCTTGAGATCAGATTTCATATTCTTTCGAAGATGGGAAACAGGGACTCTGCACATCAAAGATCAATGTCTCCAGGAAGTTAAAGGTTTTGGGACAGTCTTCTCGGATGCTCAATTCCAAATACATGAAAGGCAGCCACCAAGGCAGCCAGGGCTGTGACACAGTCACCCACCTTGGCGAGCTTCTCTCTGTCCAGGTACAGAGAAAACTCACAGCCATTGATGTGGAAAGGGTTTTTAACTTCCAACACAGGGGTGGATGTGTGCGCCTAGAAAAGACGAATGACGTCACCACTCACTGATATGTAAAACAGCTAAATGATAAAGCATGCCTGGACTTCATACAATACTACAGCAAATGAGCTAGTTACAATATAGACTAACCATGAATATGAAACAAAGACTTGAACAGACCACTGACCTTATAAATGAGATATAGGAAGGTATAAAATGAATGGCCATAAGCATACTGTGTACCTTCTCATTTACAACAACAAAAAGGCTGGGATCATCCCCAAAAACATCTGGGAGGAGTAAACATGTGGCGGTCATCTTCATATCTGTCGGAGCAAGCACATCCAAGTAAATGAAATGGACTTTAGGAAGTTTTAAGAAAAGCTACCATGAAGATGTTGGGCTTGCTTTTTATTAAATTGTTGTTACCTTCCATTCATTGTGAAGAGCAAATCTCCTTACGTGAGTATCTCACCACCATTTTTTGCATGTGTATGTGTGGTCTGTGTACATATGTGTACGCATCTTTGCGTATGTGTGGGTGTGCTTGAAAGTGCGTGTGGATACCCAAAGTGTCTTCCTCTGCTTATTGAAGCAGGATCTCCTGCTGCACCTGGAGCTTGCACACTCAGCTAGTCCAGTTAGCTGGCTTGCCTCAGAATCCTGTCTCTGCCTCCCGAGTGTTGGGATTACAGATGGCCAGAACACCTGCCTGGCTTTTCCATGGGTTCTAGCATCCAGAACTCCAGTCCTTACACTTGCACAGTGAACACTCTGATCCTCTCCCCACCCCTCATGACCATTTTTAACCAAGATTTTCTAATGAAAACTTTCAAACTTCAGGTTAACTCTCTAGGTCATGGCCAGCAGAGGCCAAAGTTCGGTGCTGAGTTCACTTGCCAGGATGATTCAGTGTGCTTGGCCTTGCAATGTGTCTTATAAAATTAAAGGGTACAAGTGCCCATAATATAACTTTATAATTTTGAGTGTGCTTTTTAAACCTTTTTCTCTCTCTCATTTGAAAAATTCTTCCTTGTCTCATTGAATTTCACTTATTGCAATGAAACACTTATGTCTGTAGTTGCAAAAATGGCTGAGGCCCCACCCCCACCCCTGGCGTTCACTGACACTTCTACACTCCTTCATCTGTATAGTGTTTCATCTCCTCTTGCAGCCCAGTATTGATTGGATTGTCCACCATTGAAAAGGTAGTCAGAATATTTTCTGAGTAGGATTCCAGAATACGCCTTGTTTTCTTATAAATATCTGTTCTTGTAAGAAGTTGGACTTCTCGGAACATCTGATAGGAGGAAGGAATACATATGTCAGGCCATGTGTAAAGGTTATTAGCTTTCATAATATAAGGAAGTCGATATCTCATTAACTTTCACAAAAGACTTAGAATATATTAAGCTTTCACAAAAGACTTGGAATATATACCTGGGTTTTTAGTAGCTTAGTGTAATGAATGCAGACAAGGAGGAAAAGAATGAAAGCCTGAAGTGAATCGCAAAACAAATGATGGATACAGAATTAAAAGTTTGGAATCTGGCGTGGCCTTTAATCCCAGTATTTGCGGGGGTGGGGGAGGTGGGAGGTGGGGGGGAGGAATGATCTCTGAGTTCCAGACCAGCCTTGTCTACAGAATGACTTCTGGGACAGCTAGGACTACATAGAGAAACCCTGTCTTGAAAAACAAAATAAAACAACAACAACAAAAACCTTAGGGAAACTTTTGTTCCTCTTGTTCTATTTTAAGGAATTGGATGTTTTCCCATACTAGAACGGAAAATAAGGCCAATTACAAATTAAAATTTTAGATATAAATTCCACTAAATGAGGATCACAGAAAGTGAATACACATGGATACTGGCTGTTTGGGTCACACCTGTAGAATTCTAGATACATTTCTTTATGTAAACCACATTGCTACCATTACAGTTCATCTTTATAAACTTGACATAAATCTAGACATAGCATGGAAGAGAGACTCTCAATTGAGAAGTGGCCTATATTAGATTGGACAGTGGGGATGTCTATGGTCATCCTCTTAATTGCTAATTAATGGAGGAGGGCCCAGGTAGTACCTGCCTGGGCTTTGTAAGAAAGGCAAGCCAGGGGAGCAAGCTAGTAAGCAGTGTTCCTCCAAGGTTTCTGCTTCAGTTCCTGCCTCCAGGTTCCTGCCTCCAGGTTCCTGCCTCCAGGTTCCTGCCTTGGCTTTTCCTGATGATGGACTGTGTAACCTATAAGCCAAATAAGCCAAGTTGATTTGGGTCCGTGTTGTCACAGCAACAGAAACCAAACTAGGACCTTGTTAAGCTTCAGCAGCATCCAGCAAGAGGCAAAACAGAAACACTAATGGATTTTCAGACAGAACTCTTGAAAAATACACAATCTTAGGACCCTAAGGGAGTGTTTCAGAGACTGTAGTCTACGATGAGTTAAACAACATACATGTGGAGGAGTTGACCTCCAGGTTAAAGAAAACCCGATGGAAGCCTCTTGACTCCAAACTACTTTTCCCTACCTTTCTCAGAATGTTCTAAATTTGTCCTCCCAGAGAATTCCACCCCTACAGCCCCTCCTCCTCCTTTGTTGACAGAGTGAAGCTATCAGACCCCTAGTCATCTACACTAGTATGAATTAATTTAGTCACCACTGTCCCTATAATTGTAGCATTTTACATTACCCACGGTGCCTCACAGTTCCTTAAATACTTTGGTAAATCATAAATGGACCAAGGATTAGGTCTGAAAGTTAAGTCATTCGAAGCTGGAATTCATTTTCATCAAGGCACTGTGGCTCTGGTCAAGCAGCTCTCAGTGGAGTGAGCACTGGTCCTTAGGAAACTGTTAAGAAAGTCAAAACTTCCCTGGGCTCAGGACCTAGGGTTTTGGGCTTTTTTTTTTTTTTTTTGCTTTTGTGTTTGTGTTTGTTTTTTCTTTATTTTCAACTTGATAGTAAAGTGCTGTGGATATCGTTCTGTATAAATAAAACATTGATTGGCCAGTGGCCAGGCAGGAAGTATAGGCGGGACAAGGAGAGAGGAGAATTCTGGGAAGTGGAAGGCTGAGTGGGAGACACTGCCAGCCATCGCCATGACAAGCAGCATGTGAAGATGCCAGTAAGCCACGAGCCACGTGGTAAGGTATAGATTTATAGAAATGGATTAATTTAAGCTATAAGAATAGTTAGCAAGAAGCCTGCCACGGCCATACAGTTTGTAAGCAATATAAGTCTCTGTGTTTACTTAGTAGGGTCTGAGCGGCTGTGGGACTGGCAGGTGACAGAGGTTTGTCCTGACTGTGGGCCAGGCAGGAAAACTCTAGCTACAGTAAAGTTTAAATCAGTAGAGCTCACAGATGCCCTTCAGGAAGACCCACTTGACAATAAGCCGTAGACACGAGCCCCCTTAATTTTCCTACGTGCACTTCCAAAGTACAAAGACACTTAAAACTGGGGAATCTAATTTGCTGTCTCATTCAGATTTGCTAGGAGTTTCAACCATATTCTTTCTAGATGCAGGATCACTTGCGTGATGTTAATACCATGTCTCAAACCAGGTCTCTTGCCTGAAATAACCTCTGGATTTTTTGGGCATTTTTGAAAAGTGGTTCATCACTATGTATACCCTCCTTCCCTGTTTGTGCGGTATTTCCCCAGGGTTTATGCATTTGGGTAATAAATGCTTGCCTTTCTCAATGGATCAGGAGCACTAAATGGGAATTTGTCCTGATACTGAAGATACTAACTTTCATCAATTGATTAAGTTGGAATCTACCAGCTTTCCACTCCTCAGTGTCTGAACTCTGTTGAATTTTATGAGACAATGTATTGAGAATAACTATCTTTTATATGAGCCGGGCGGTGGTGGCGCACGCCTTTAATCCCAGCACTCGGGAGGCAGAGCCAGGCGGATCTCTGTGAGTTCGAGGCCAGCCTGGACTACCAAGTGAGTTCCAGGAAAGGCGCAAAGCTACACAGAGAAACCCTGTCTCGAAAAACCAAAAAAACAAAAAAAAAAAACAAAAAAAAAACTATCTTTTATATGGATTTTTGACACAAGGTTTTGCTAGGGAGCCTGTGGAGCCCAGAATGACTTGGAGCTCACTATGTAGCCCAACCTGCCTCCTGCCTCACAGATGCAGGGATAATAGATGAGTGCCAGAACACCTGGCCAGCTCATGTAACTTTATCTACCAGATTTAATACCCACTGATGCAAATATCACTGTGTTCACTGCCAAGTGGCATTTAGCTTATCTGTCTTTTCTAAATATATTAGTTGGCACTCTACTTACCATGAGGTAGGATTTTCTCTTCTACATTTATTTACTTATTTGTAACACAATATACTAATAAATTTCACTCAAAGAGTTACAAATATGATCCTCAAAATATTTATATAATTTTGTTTTCTAGATTTTGCCAGTAGAGGCTATGTCCTCTTGACATAGTCTAATAGTTGGTGAACATTTCCTTAATTGTAGCATTTCACAGTATTTCAGGTTTATCATATATACTATATGTATAGTATGTATATGTGTATGTATAGTATGTATGTGTTTCTTAGGCATAGAGTCCATAATGTCTCTCAAAATATCTTATTCTTTCTATTGGAAAATGCCATTTAGAAACTAAAATTTCAACCCCCAAAATGTGCCTCTTCCTACAGAAATGTTATTGCTGTAGGCTTTCGCATAGAACAATGTTGAGGAATGCGTTCTATATACTGTGAGTGTTGTTGGAATCAAAATAGAGTAACTTATTTCAAACACTAGCAAAAGAGAAGCTAACAGGTCACCAAGGAGGATTTCACATGGACATAAGCCTCATCAAAGGGCCACCACCAAAACCTCTGTCACAACCATAACTGTGCACAAAGGCCACCACAATCTTATGTACACAAAAGACTTCTGCAAGGACACTTAGCTAGCTGTCTGTTTAACCTTGATAGTGACCTTATAGCCAAGGCTTATATTTCAAAAGCAGTTTATGTGATCTTCCTCCTTTTGATTATTAGATCCTGTTTTTTTTTTTTTTCCTCCTTGGCTATGCCGACTCCTTAGGCTAGCCAATAAAATTGCACTGCAGCTTCCATTTTTCAAATCCAGTATCCTCTGAGAACCTCCCATCTGTCATTTAAGTGGCAAGGTAGAGAAACGGAAAAACAAAGAACTGTTTATGTACCTGTACATAAATAGAAACGACCACACTGGCACTTTGAAATCTAGCGCAGTTCACGGAGCTTTCTCTAGCCTTTCTCTTTCTATGCTTCTAACATGGCAGTAGTAATGCCTGCCACTATCTTCAGGGCAGATACGGTCACCAAAACTCCCAACGAATGACAAGTGAAAAAGTCCTTCTCCACAACTTAAATCGCTTTTCCTTTGTTCATGTATTGGAACATTTCTGCTGACCGGTCTTCAAGTCCACCCTTGCTCTGGTTTTCACTATGCTGTTAAGCCTACCCAGTGAGGCACTCACTTGAAATAATGTTATTCAATTCTAAATTTCTATTTCTTTTTCTTTCCTTCTTTTTCCCCCCTACATTCATTGTGTCTGCTGAGATTTCCCACAGACATGATGCATCGGGTTGAGTGGCCCTACTATGCTTCTGTCACCCTGGAGCAACTGACTTGACAGACTGGGGTGGCCTTTGGAAGGCTGGGTCACAGGCCGGACCAATCAAATGGCCATATGAGCAAGGTGGGGATAAGGCTCGGCAGGGCTGTCTACACTCCAAACCAGTGTTCAATGTACAGTCCTGGCTCTTTCATAGTCAGGGCTCATGAGTCCAGAAATCTAGCACAGCAACTGGAGCAACACAGCTCACTGCCTGGGTGTTACCTGGCAACCCCCTGGCAGGGAGTTTGCATCAGTTGGTTTCCCTTTACAGGGTGCTTAATTTTGGACTGTCAGTCAATGAAGAACTGGTTGTTCCTCCTGGCCTGCCAGACTTTATCATTTGTTTGGGCAAGTTTGTTTTGAGTTTTGCCCTTGACTGGGAAAAACCAAGCCTAGGGGTGATTCTTACTCACAAGGCGTGGACTTCTGGATGCTACATGAGTGTGTGTACGCTTGGACTCACCACACCGGGCCCAAGCTCTTATCAACTCTCAGTGCTTCTCAGTCATGGAGCAGCCTCACTTTTCAAGGCATTAGGGAGACCAGACCCCAAACAGTGAGCTTCTTCCCATGTCTCCCACTTCTTTCGGAATCCTGTCCAGCAAACAACAGCTGTCCATCATTCCCAAACTCCAGGCTCTTCCTGTTGGGCTGAGTGGGACCACTAAGTGATGCTTGCCCCCACCTGTCAGTACAGCTATCTCAGTGTGGCTCTGCAAGTGCCTCCCCTACCAAAGATCCCAGTCCAAGGAAGCCTGGAACTAAGGCCTGCAGGCAACTGCTTCATCGTGATGTCTGTTTTGGTTCCTCAGCTTTATCCATGCTGCTGGTGGAAGGCCCAGGTTCATATCCCTACTCCACTAGAGCAAAAGCAAAACTCAGATTCTTTACAAACTTTTTCCATGCTCCATTAGCTTGTTTCTTAGGTGTTTCAGTGAAGTTATGAGTTTGGTTTGCTTTGGTTTGGTTTTGAGTCAAGGTCTCTTATGTTGCCCAAGTTGGCCTTAAACTCCCTAGCATAAAAGGCTCTCCTTGCTCCAACTTCTGATTGGTCGGGACAACAGTTTCAAACCCCAAAACCCACTTTCACTTCACTCAGTTGTTGTGGCTGCTTCACAGGAAGGAGAAAGTCGTGGCACCTCAGAGGGTCTCTAGAAACTTCAGGTGTTTAATTTTTTTTCTCCTCCCTCCAAAATCCCTGCCTCACTTGACTTTCATCATCTCCATGAAGCCCAGGAACAGGATCCTAGTTGAAGTTTTATACAATCTAATGTTATTTTATTTTTAATTTTTAAATTTTCTGTTGAAGCCAGGTGGTGGTGGCATATGCCTTTAATCTCAGCATTCGGGAGGCGGAGGCAGGAGGATTTCTGTGAGGCCAGCCTGGTCTATGGAGTGAGATCCAGGATAGGCTCCAAAGCTATACAGAGAAACCCTGTCTGAAAAAAAAAAAATCTGTTGAAAGAGTTTTAAATACTAGTGTTTATGAGGATCAGTTTAATTGCCAGGGCCCCTCCCCACAACAGCCACTTCTCTGCCTCAGCACCTACATGCCCAGCAAATCAACTCTGAGTCGTTACAGGACCGTGGAGCAGGAAGATCACTTCATGCCCTGGTTGATTTTTCTCAACATGATCCAAACCTGGACTCATCTGAGAAGAGGGAAACTCAATGGAGATCATTCCTGTCAGATTCGCACATAGGCAAGCCTGTGCAGGGCATTGCCTTGACTGACACTTTGTGTGGGATGGCCCAGCTCACTGCGCACAGGGCCACACCTTGGGCAGGTGATCCCGGCTCAGAAAGCAAACTGAGCAAGCCATGGCGAGCAAGCCGATAAGCACTGTACCTCCATGGTGTCCCGCTTCAGTTTCTGCCTCTGGGTTCCATAATCCGGGTGAAGGACTATGATGTAAAAGTGTAAGCCAAATAAACCCTTTCTTCCCAAACTGGCGTTTGGTTATGGTATTTTATCATAGAAATAGAAACCCTAAGATGCTTTATGAAATGATTTGATAATTTAAAAGACAGAAAAATGTTACTTGGGAAGAGTTCTGAGCATAAACAACTTAATTGTCTAAATGCACGCAAAACGCAATTATTCACGTGACAAAATACCCTACAGTAGAGATACCTCCGCCTCACCCCCATAGTGTGCTCTACAGGAAGCTCTAATCCTCAAGACAGCAGGGCTGGGTGTCTGGAAGCGACTTCCTGCAGTTCTGATTGGCTCAACTGTCCTGCTCACACCCTACGGAGAGTCACACCCACTGTCTTGCCAGGCTGTCTGGTCACTACTCCAGAGGCAAGAGGGAGAAAAAAGAACGTGATGCCAAGAACAGAGACTGTTCTAAGTGAGTAGCTTGCCTGGTTAGGGCACTTCAGGAAAGGAAACATGTTAAGAATGTCCTTGAGAGGTGTTCGGCAGCCAATCATCTTTCTTCTGATTTCCAAATTCTGACTCATCCTCTTGTTAATTTCTCTCCAGTCCTTGTCTGTTTTCACATACTCTCGCTGGAACCAGCGAATATGTTCGTTCACTTCTGTATCTAAACAAACAGATTCTTCCTGCCAAATATTTTAAAGTATCAGTTAATCTCATGTTTCAAGGCAATTGAATACTTTACGGAAACCCAGCTCTCTGAGAAGCTGTTATTGCACTCTTTATGATGTATCCCTAAGGTGCCATGTGTAATTTCACTTGGCCTTGGACATGGTTAACCAAGGGACAGTCATTTATGAAAGCAAATTAGATAGTTACTTACAGTGGAATTATAGTCTATGCTTTTTTTTTTAAAGTATTTGTTTTTATTTATGCGTGCATGTCTATTTGTCTGTCTGTGTACCATGTTGAACTGGCAGTTGTGAGCTGGTTGATCTGAGTGCTGAAACTGAACCCAGGTTCTTGGTAATAAATAGCAGCAAGTGCTGTTAGCTTCTGAGCCATCGTTCCAGCCTCCTGTGGTCTTGACAAGGTTAAAAGCGTTACATTAGTCCTACTTATCTGGTTACGTGGATTCAGAATATCCAGAAAATTCACATCATACCACAGTGTTATTTCTATGCATTTAATTCTTAGAAGACAGGAAAAGGTTTCAATAAAGGTTTTGTTACTTTTCTCTTTTGTGCAGGTGTGTGTGTGTGTGTGTGTGTGTGCGCGCGCGCAGGGGTATGTACACATGTATGCACATGAGTGTAGAGATCAGAGGTTGACATTAGGTATCTTCCTTGATCATTGTCAATAATTTTTTTTTTTAGACAGGGCTTTTACTGAACCTGCTGCTCCCCATTGACTAGACTGGCTGACTGGGAGTCCTAGGGCTCCTCCTGTCTTTACATCCCCATCAATGGACTTAGATTGCAGGTTCATGGCACTGCATCCATGGTTATTCGATAAATGCTTTACCCACTGAGAAGTCCACCCAGCTCTTTTTTTTTAAGCACCTTTTTAATAGTTGCCAAGGTCACCAAAATTCAAACTAACAACTAACTGGTTTCTGTGACAATGACTCATCGATGGGTCAGTCTTGTTCATTATACACTGGGTAGGTAGGTTGGGAGTAGCTACAGAACATCTCACATACCCTTGTTAAGAAATTCCAAGACAAACAGCTTGGAGGGAAACCTTCCTATAACAATTCATTTTGAGGAACTCAGCTGACTACGTTTGGCTGAAAGTTAACCAGCAGTCTAGCGCACCAGGATGCAGACAGCTGTTGCCTGTCAGGGAGGAAGACAGTATTAAGGGGCCGGAGTGCTCTGGCGTCAAAGCGTTACAAATGCTAGGGAAACTTCATGTCCATCCCGCTGCCTGTGGGCTCAGGATGGCTAGCCAGACATAGACCATGAGAATTCCTAGAAAAATGTAATTCATCACAACAGCTTAAAATGAAATCTCTCCAGTCTTACATAAATTCCATTAGAAGATAGAAATCTTTCCACAAAGAAATATTAGGGGTTTTAGAGCTAAATTCTACTTGACATTTGAGGCTGAGTGCTCTAAATTTATGCAAATTTTGCCAGAGAATTAAGGAAAAAAAGAGAATGCCTCCAGCCGTTTTACAATGCCTCTCTGATATTACCTTCAAATGAAAGAACAGTGTAAGGGGAATTCAGATCACACTCATGGAAGAGGTTGAAATACTAGGAATCAAGAAAACTGACGGACTTATCACTGAAATGCAGCGATCATTCAACATTGCAAAGGAACTATGGAACTAAAGAGAAATGTGATTGACTTCTCCTAACATTTCACACGCTGTCATGCTGAAATCCCAATCTGGGAGCCACTATTATGGAAAGGTTTGAGACATAAAAGAGAAATGTAATGTATTAAAAGCTCCATCATTTACTTGGCCCTGTCCAAAGATACATAAACCTTATACAGTGCCTGAGTCAGTTTGAGATGAAAACATGATCATTTCAAATAACGTTCAAGAGTATTTCACATAGTTCCACATCTATTTATGGCCTAAGGGAAAAACATTCATCAGAGAAAAACAACAAATTAAAAAAAAAATATAGTTATTGAGCAAAAAAAAACCTCAAGCTATCATCATTTTTGAATGGTAATTTTTTAAAAAGGATTCTCCTTAAAATCAGAGACATGTCAAATATACTGGGTTTTTTGTGGGTTTTTTGTTTTGTTTTGTTTTGGTTTTTTTTGGTTTTTCGAGACAGGGTTTCTCTGTGTAGCTTTGCTCCTTTCCTGGAACTCACTTGGTAGCCCAGGCTGGCCTCGAACTCACAGAGATCCGCCTGGCTCTGCCTCCCAAATGCTGGGATTAAAGGCGTGTGCCACCACCGCCCGGCTATACATACTGTTTTGTATTCTTATACAGCTGTCTGCTGTGACAAAGAAAGAGAAACAGGTACCAGTAAGATGGTTCAGGGGTAAAGGCACAGCCAGCAAGTTTAACCCCAGTTCAATCCCAGAATCCGCATAGTATAAGGAGAGAGCCAAGTCCCACAAGTCATACTAACACACACACACACACACACACACACACACACACACACACACACACACACACACCATAATACAATTAAAAAGAAAGAAAAATATGTTATAAAATCTAGAGATAAAAAAGAATTTTAACTTTCCCTAGGTTATGAGATTAAGAAAGACACGAAAGGATGCACCCTATGACTGCAGGGAGATTTTCTGAACTGGTGAAAACAAATCAATAAACATCATGTGCTAACAAATAAAAAATATATTTTGTTTCAAGAGAATTTTACCATATAGCCCTGGCTGGCTTCCAACTCTTCAAACCTTCTACTTCTGCCTCTTAAATGTTGAGATTACAGGAATGTGCCATTTCACTCAGCTAGGAAATATTTTTACTATTTCAAAAAATAATAATAAAGTACTTTTAATGTAATTAGAATTTAAATCTAAGAAATGGCACTCACAAAGTGCAGGAAGAAAACTACAGTAATAACTAAATGTGTGGATTGACCATTTACAGTTAGAAAGATTCAACTTGTAAGAAGTCATTTTTTTTTCTAAAAAGAATTATAGATTCAACAATATTCCTATTACTATATAAACTATCTGGAGCTGGGGAGATGACCCAGCAGTTAAAAGCACTTACTGCTCTTTCAGATGACCAGCGTTTGGTTTCCCGAACCCATGTTAGTTAGCTAGCAACTGCCTGTAAACCCAGCCCCCAGGGGATCTGATGTCCCCTTTTGCCTTCTATGGGTACTTGCATGCAAGTGCATGTATGTGCACATAGACACAGATATACATACACATAAATAAACAGAAAATAAATCTTTTTTTCTTTTAAAAAAGGTAACTATCAAAAGCAAAAACAACTAGTAACTTGATCAAATTCTAAAACTCATGAAAAAAAAAACATGTAAAAAAACCAAGATTGGGCCCATGAGATGTTCAGTTGGTAGAGCAACTGATGTACAGACTGATGATCTCACCTCAACCCCTGGATCCTACAAGGTGTCAGGAAAGAGCCAATTCCTGAGCTTTGTCTTCTGGGCTTCATGCTTGTGCCTACATACACACACACACACACACACACACACACACACACACACACACACACTAATAAAACAATTTAAAATTCAAGCATGAGGTTCTTCTGAAAAAGAATAAGGGAGTGATGGGAAGGTATCCAGATGTTTCACAGCTGTGCAGTCAAAGAATGCTGCTGTTGTTGCAGAGGTAGGTGGCTGGAGCCATGGAGTACAACACACTTTCAGACACAGAACCAGAGAAGCAACAAAACACACCACAGGTCCCTGGGGAAGAGAAGGGCTATTTTACAAAGGTATACAGCATTATTTTGTCCACAAACGAAAAAAAAAAATCCTCCATGGTTTAAAGACTTTAATATTAAAGGCAAAATGCTTTTTAAAAATTAAAGGAAATAGAGGAATATTTTTATCACTTCAAGGCGATAAAAAAACTTTTTAGGAAAAGATTTCCTAAAGACATTAAATAAAAAGAGAGATTGATAATAATAATTGTATTAAAATGACAACTGTCTGTCAAAACACAAGCAGAAAGAAATTTAAAAGGAAAGACACAGACTGAATGACAATACTTACAGTGGACATAATTGATAAAGCAATGATATACGAATAAAAGATATAGATATTTATAATTCTTGCAAATAAGAAAAAAGCTCACAGGGGAAAAATGGTCAAAAACATGAACAGGAATTTTACAGAGAAGTAAATGTGAGCCATTTACAAATATACGAAGATATGATCAATTCATAAGTAATTATAATGAAAATCAGGACCAAGAAAACACCGATTTATTTCCAGTAGTTTTGAGTGCGAAAGAGATCCAATGGTAAGTGTTGCTCAGGGAGCCAAATGTCTACAATGACTTACAAAAACAATCGAGCTCTGTCTCACAAAGTTGCATATTTACACAATCTCTAAGCCCGCAGTTCCACGATAAGCAGAAGTCTTTGGCAAAAGCTCCTGCATAGGAACCAAAATAGCATGTCCTAACAGCCAAAGCCAGACCCAAGGCAGATGATGGTGGACAGGAGAGCAGCCAGATCCAGCAGGGTTCCCTGTCACATTGGATTACCAATCCCTATAAAAATAAAGAAATGCTCCATTGAACTTAATACCCTGGTTGGATCCCAAAGACATTACAGCAAGTGGAAAACAGGAAGTTTTCCAAGTCAATCATATTCATGACTCCACGTCTCAAAAATAAGCCACATGGAACAATAGATTCATTGGGAACTTTTGCAAGGATGACAAAAAAAGGTCATTGTCTTAAAAAGCTGGTGAACGATGACATAAAATTCCAAGGCACAGTTACTTCCAGATGCCGTGGTGTTGGCAAGGTGACTGCTGGGGGAGGGGAGGGAAACTTGGGCCCATACAATGGTATCAGCAGTGATCCGTTTGTAAGCTGAATGTCACTCCTGGTGTCCATTTTGTCTCACAAACTGTGTATATGCCACACACCACACATTTTGTATTATCTCAAATGCATAGAAAGTACCTTTTAACAAAAAGAAAATGTCATATTTGTTAAGAAGTAAAATGGAATCTAAATTTGAGTTACAGGAACAGCT